GGGCCGCGGGGCTCTGGAGACCTGCGGTCTGGAGCGGATTTTGGAGGCACTGAAGCTGCTCCTGAGCCCGGGAGGTGAGGAGACGGATCTCGGCGCCCCGCCGGACCGTGGCCTCTCGGGGCCGCCAGTCTTCCGAGGCTGCCTTCCTCCCGCCGCGCGCTCTCCTCCGGCCTCCCTGGCCACCCCCCGGCCCTGAGGCCGCCCCACTCCTGGGGGCTTCGGCCAGTGTTTGAGCAGCTTCATTTTACCCTTGAGAAACTCGAGGTGCCCGGAGGGGATGGGATCCGTTGCAAACTGGGAATAGGCTGCATCTCGAGCGGTTGCCTTGCGCTAAGCGACGAAGGGGAGCGATGTTCTGCCGGCACACTGCAGTCCTCTGAGGGAACCGGGGGACCGGTGTCTCCACCCTCTGAGGGCGCGGGGTCCCGCACCTGTGTCCATCAGGAAGGCGGGGGGCCTTGGCGCTGGGCCCCGATAGCGAATTCAAAGCCCAGAGGGAGGCCTTTACAACCCCCCCTGTATGGCCTTGGGCTCCCAGGTGTTCGTGTTCCCTACAATTTTGTTTTTCACAGCACCTGTTGAGACTTAAGCAGAAAGGCGGGACCCTTTCTACGCCAAGAAGCCGCAGTCGTCTTGCAAACCCAAAGGGGTTCTACTGGAAGGCAGGGAGTTGCAGTTATAGTTCACATACCATGCAATTCACTCGTTTAAAGCGTACAGTTCAGGCAGCCCTCAATGACTGCAGCCCGGTGTTTGAACCTTTTCCTCACCCCGGGAAAGGAAACCCTGCCCCGAGCCTTCAACCTCCAGGTCCCATTTACCCCTAATTCCAGTAGGGAGTATACAGTAGATTCTCCTGGCGATGCCAGGTGCGTCAGAGTAGAACTGTGCTTTATAAAATTGTCAGTGGCAGATTTTTCAGACGTAGGAGCACCAGGCCTTTCTTTCCTGCCGCTTTTGGATGAGCAGCGCTCTTTCCGGGATTCCCTTTTAACTTTCTACCTGCTGTAACTGCCCTGGATTCGGTCCTCTGGTTCTTAAGAGGCCAGTGGTACCTATTAAAATGTTCCCTTCACTAAGGCAACTCTCCCTTTAATAGGCAAGGAAAAGCAGGAAACTTGCTCAGTGCAATTGTAACCTCATGAAGATTAAACTCTAGTGAAGAATTAAAGAAACAAAGTAATTCCTGATTGAGACATTAACGTCAATGGGATTCGAGCAGTAGCTTTTAGATTAGTTAAGGAAGGCTATTTTTTAGGAGATAATATTGAAATGAAAGCTCTTAGATACTCTGAGTTGGCATTTTCACCGAGCTATATACATTAAAAAAATGTGTGCACACTTTCTCTAAGAGACACATGTAAGAATGTAAAACATGATATGTGTAATAGCTCCAAATAAATAATCAACAATGGATTAAATGGATAAACTGAATTAGGTGGTGAATATATAAAATGAGATGAATTAACTGGAATACTACATAGCAATAGAAAGGAACAAAGGCACAGTTACACATAGCAGTTTTGGTGAATCTTATCATGTTAGCACAAGATTCCAGATTTAATGTGCATGAAGTTTAAAAAACAGGTAAAAACTAGTGGTTAAGAGCACATGTTTAAGTGTTAAATTTAAGAAAAGCAAGAAAGCAATTCTCTTAAAAGTCTGATTAGTAGTTAGCTTTGACCGAAAGGAGAAAGACGGGGCTTTCTACTCCCATAAAGTATTCCGGTCTTGGAGATTCACAGGAGCTGTTCTACCCAGTCCTAGGGTCGCTGTGAGTTGGCATTGACTGATGGCAGTAAGTATGGTTTTTGGCTTTGGCTTGATAGGGAAATGGAGATCATGATCTGAAAGAGAAAGGAAGGTATCCTTCTGGGACCGGTAATGTCCTTTTTACTTGTGAGTCTTCCCTTTGTGATAATCCATTGAGCCACACATTTTTGTTTTGTGTTATCATTTTAAAAAAAAATCATTTTATTGGGAGCTCTTACAGCTCTTATCACAATCCATCCATTCAGTGTCAAAGCACTTTTGTACATATGTTACCATCATCATTTTCAAAATATTTTACTTCTACTTGAGCCCTTGGTATCAGCTCTTCATTTTCCCCCTCTCCCTCATGAACCCTTGATAAATGATAATTTTTTATTATTTTCATATCTTACATTGCGGTTTTGTCTAATCTTTTGTAAGCATATTAAAAACACAAACCTCTAGGTTTGAGCCAGCTATGTTAAGACATGGAAGAGCATTCCATGGAAAAGGTAATCATAGTTGACCTTGAATCTGGCCGGTTGGAAGTACTAAAGGGCCCACCAGAACTAGGGAGTGAGGGGAATGCAAAAAGACTGGAGAAGTAGCACGTGCGAGATCATGAAGAGCTTCACACCGTGCAAAAGAAATTTGTTTTTAAGCATGAAGAGAGAGCCCTTTTGCTGCTGTGCAGGAAGTAGGTTTTGGGGAGGAGAAGGAGTGGAGTTAGGGGAACTGAGGCTGCCGCAGTCGTTTTGCTTAAAGAGAATCAAGGATCGGATAAAGAATGTGATAGGACAATGCAGGAAAGTGGGTGAGTTTGAGAAATATGGAAGCAGAAAAGATGATAAATTTTGTGATGGAGTGAATACGAGAATAAAGAAACGAGAAGATTGAGTTAAGTAGCTACGTTGGATTGGAGGAGGAAGTGGGGCCATGGTGAGAACTGAGAGTTCTTATTTTGCACATGTTGAATTTGAGATGCCTAAGGAAAGGAGGCCTGGTGGTACAATAGCTAGCCACTTAGTTGCTAACCAAAAGGTTGGTGGTTTGAAGCCACTGGCCACTCTGCAAGAGAAAAGATCTGGCAATCAGCTCCCATAGAGATTTCGGTGTAAGGAATGGGGCCAATCAACTTTGATAGACAGACACACTGTCAGTCGAAATCTGTGGCACACAACATGAAGCAGCATCCAGGTGAAGATGCCAGGGAGCATATGAGAATATGTATCTGGGACTTAGAGGTGGACATAAACCAGGGACATGAATTTGGGAATTGTTTTTTTCTTAAATCATTTTATTGGAGACTCTTAAAGCTCTTATCACAATCCATACATACATTGTGTCAAGCACATTTGTACATATGTTGCCATAATCATTTTCAAAACATTTTCTTTCTACTTGAATCCTTGGTATCAGCTCATTTCCCCCATCCTCCATCCCTCATGAACACTTGATAACTTATAGTTTTTTTTTGTATATCTTACACTGACCAGTGTCCCTTCACCCACTTTTCTGTTGTCTGTCCCCCTGGGAGGGGGTTATATGTTGATCATTGTGACCAATTCCACATTTTCCCCCAACCTTCCCCTTCCCTCCTGGAATTTAGGAATTGATAACCTATCTCAAAACCTAAAAACCAAACCCTCTGCCATTGTGTTGATGCTGACTCTTAGCAAACTTATGGGGAACTGCCCCTGTGAGTTTCTCCGAGATGGTACCTCTTAACAGGAGTAGAGAGCTCCATCTTTTCCCCACAGAGTGGCTAGTGGTTTGCACTGCTGACATGTTGGGTTAGCAGCCAGCATGTAGCCACTGTGCCACATGTAGCACAGGGCTCCTGTGCTAACTTATAGATGGGTTTAAAAGACACTGGCCTGATAAGACCATCTTAGAAGAGTGTGCAGGGTCCACGACCATGCTCTGGATCTATCTGCTAGAGGAAAAGATCCTATAGGGTCGCTTTGAGTTAGCACTGACTCGATGGCAGTGAATTTGTTTTTTCGAGAGAGGCAAAGAAGCCAACAGAGGAGATAGAGGTCCCAGAAGGCAAGAAAAGAGTATTTCCAGGAGTCAGTCAACTTGGTCAACTGCTGTTGAGATGTGTCAGGGCTCCATTGCCATTAGGGGGCAGCAAAGACCATTTTGGAATTGTCGGAGAAAACAAGGTTAGGTCTTTCCAGAGGCAACAAATGAATTCCGTTGAACCCATGACTATTTTGTGATCTTCCTCATTAGAATGTAAATCACAGAAGGGAAGGGACTTGGATTTGTTCCATGTGGTGTTGCCAACACCCAGAGCAGTTCTACTGAATGACAATTCTGCAGTAAATTTCAGTTTTTACTTTTCTGGCTGCATTGTCAGCCTTGTAAGAGAGCCAAGGCATGTACATCTCCGCCCTCAAAACTTGTAGGAGGAATATAAATAAACAAAGTGAAGACTATATGATGAGTCAGTGACAGTTCCAATTGTGCCCAAAGCCCTAGGGCAGGGCAGGTGCCTGGGTCAGCATGGTTGTGGGGGAAGGGGGTCTCCAGAAGCAGTGGCTTAGGGATGAACTGGAAGGGGCAAAGCCTTCCACACTGAAGGAAGTACAGTTTGTTTTCCCTGCAGATAACCTCCTTTTCGTCTTTAACAGGATCGGGCTCGAGTTCACTACAGATCACAAAACATGACGTCTTGTTAGCTACCTTACGATCTAATCTGTCTGCTTTGGAGGACAAGTTTCTGAAGGATCCTCATTGGACGACATTGAAAGACCTGAGAGATGAAATAGCCGGGAGGGCAGAATGTCTGCCAAACTCTGCGGATGTCACCTGGACTTTTACTTCGCAAACCTTGTTGTTGCTTTTGTGCTTGAAAGAAGCCATGCTTCGCCTTGCAGCAGGTTTCCGTCCAGGTGAACCCAACCCTAGCACTCCTGAAGCTGCTCCTGCCCTGAGCCCCGATACACTTAGTATCTCACAGCAGAAGACCGTCCAATCGGTTTTGCAATTTGTGGTCACTCTAGGCGTCTGTCCCTATCTCATGCCTGGTGTTGGAATCCCTTTGAGGTGCAGGACTGATTTTGGCGCCGTCATTCAAGACGTGGTACACCTCGATGTGCCTCCGGATGCCACCCGGAGACTGTACACCACCTGTCGGCTGCTCCTAAACGTCGCTCAGCACGCCTCTCTCGGGAGCTTGATTTTCTGCCGCCATTTAGGGGACATTGCAGCAGGATTGTGCCAGCTGGGCTTCTGCCCTACCAAAAGAAAACCTCTAAAACCTGTGGAAGAAGCCAAGGTACCCTGAGTGTCTGAGCATGTGCACATGTGTATATTTTATGTGTTGTCAGACAATTCTTTAGAAAATGGCTGATTAAAAGTCCTAGACTTCTTAATGAATGCCAAAGCCTATCCAGGGACTAAAGGAATCTTTTCAAGGGAGCTAGAACTTTCGATTGTTCGCTGCTAGGCCTTTGCCTGCTCAGAGAGTCCATTTTGCCCACATCTTCCTGTCATTGTGGCATAGTGGTTATGTGTTGGGCTGCTAGCTGCAAGGTCAGCAGTTAAAAACCACCAACCACTCCTCGGGAGAAAAATGAGACTTTCTACTTCCAAAAAGAGATAGTCTCAGAAACTCACGAGGGTTGGAGAACAAATGTTTTGAGAATGACGAGGGCAATGACTGTACACATGTGCTTTACACAGTTGATGTATGTATGGATTGTGATAAGAGTTGTATGAGCCCCTAATAAAATGATTAAAAAAAAAAAAAAGAACGAAACTCACGAGGACAATTCAGCCTTGTCATTATGGGCTTGCTGTGAGTTGGCCTCAACTTGATGGCGGTGGGCTTGGTTTTGGTATTGGTCTTGGCATTGTGTGAAACTCATGGGCTGTTTTTTTGAGCCATGGTTTTCATAAAACAAGAGCGACAGCATCTGTGTTGGGTGGTGGTAGAACCTACCGCCAATGGGCATGTGAGCAGTGCTCACTGCCTGCATTTTCCTGAGGTGGGGGGGGCTGGAGGAACAGGCTTCAGAACTATTACCAGGCACAATGCAGTTTCCCAGGCAGGAAAGAGAACAGATGAGGGAAACCACGGTGGGAGAAGCAGTTGACAGAAGGGGAAACAAGCGGGATGAAGCTTGACAAAACCCCACCCATAGCTGCTGCTCTCAGCAGCCGCCGTCTCTTCATTTGCTGGGTAATGATGGCTAGGGCCCTCACTGCTTGACTGTGAGGTTAGTTACTTCCAATAGTGGGGCATTATTGTGGGGCTCCCAGAGGCCCCCAAATTGCACCCTTCTTCCTCGCCGAAGTTCTGAGTCAATGAGAAGATTGCTTACAAATCAAGAGATGACAAGTGAAAACCGCTACTAGTCGACAGGCAGAGTTGGAAAGTGTAGCTTTTATAAGGGGACAAATGAACTCCTTCACAGTGCGCTCAGCTAGACAGACTACTCACTGAGTTGGAGGTTTTGAAAAATTACAGTTTATAGTGACCCTATAGGGCACTCTGCCCCATGACTGGGGATACAATATGCCTGTAACATGGGCCCCAAGAAAGACCAGAGCGGACCGTGCACTCGAGAGGAGAGGAACAACTGAGCTGGGCATGCCCAGACTGCGTGAGTGTATTCCAGACTGACCAATAGGATAAGCCCCTCTGCGTCCCAATGTGCAGTGTGTGAGGGGTCGGAGAGAGGGCCTGGGATGTTGTAGTCCTACAGCATGCTCCATGTAGAAGGAAAGCAAGAGAGAGAAGAAGTATTCCTTTCTTCCTCCTTTCACGTATCTCTAATGACTGGTTTGTGTTTTGTGCAGGATCGTAAAGTATTGCCTGCTAATGACTGGTTGTGTGTCACTAAAGCTAAGTGTATGTTTCTTTCAGGTTTTAAATGAAGAGGAAAGAGCTCTCTGTAAGGGGGCCTTGAGGGACATCTTGGATCAAGTGTATCAGCCACTAGCAGTCCGAGAATTACTTATCCTCCAGGGAGGACCACCCGAGGTATTCAGGCCTAAGCACTCTTGTGGGTGAATTATTAACAGTAATATGTCATGTGCTCTCTTCTCCCCTGGGGACATTCAATAACTACACCCTCTCACTACCCTTGACTTGATTCTAACTCATATCGACCCTGTAGGACAGAGTAGAACTATCCCATAGGGTTCCCAAGGCCGGAAATCTTTGTGGAAACAGACTCCCACATTTTCCTCTCATAAAGTGGCTGGTGGGGGTCAAACGGCTGAACTTTGGGTTAGCAACCAAGTGCTTAACCACTGCACCACCAGGGCTCTTTAAATAACTCTAGTTCCCCATTTAACCATCTAGTTGTGCCGTATGTCATCTTTTAGCTCATGAAGTGCTATTTATAAAACTAAGTTACACTGACCCTTCAGATAATTTTAAAGGATTTCAATTTTATCTAAATGCTTTTTCAATAATATTATGGTCACTTTTAAAGGCTGTTAGCAGTTTTATTTATATTCATTCTAATGAGTAGTATTATATTCATTCTAAAATTAGACCTCTCTTTTAAACTAACATTTGACCGTTTGGCAATCTGTTCTTTTGGCAGAAATACCTGGAGACTTTATTCTTTAAATGGAATACATGAAATGAAGACACTACAACTCTTACTGAGGATTTTTTTGTTTGTTTGAACAACAATGCTCTCTAGCGTACTCAGCCTATATTTCTCTTTTTTCTCCTTAAAAATAGTTATTTTTCTTAAATTATTTAATTCTGTGATATAGGTAGGATACACTTTTTTTTACTTGTCCCACCTAAATTGTAGTTCTAAATCTAGGTGAGCAAAGAGTGACAGGCCAAAGGAATTGGCTGTCAGTCAGACACAATGAGCTGCTGAAGCTGACTACCAAGGATTGTCCTGCATGGCATTCTTCTCCTCTCCTGCCCAGAATACCACTGTAGCCTCCAGTGGGTCTTAGGGCCTGGCCTTCCCCTTCTCGGGAGTCGAATCTGTCAGATGACATCAAATGCATTGTAGGAGTGTGGTAGGAAGCAGAGGTGGTGGGCTGGGCACACCTGGATTCAACTCCAGTGAGCTCTGGAATGGGTTACATTCCTCCATTTTCTTACCCATGAAATGGGCATGACGTCGACCCCGTGAGATTATGTGGGAAGTACTTAACCTAGTGTGACACATTATAACCTCCTTAATAAGTAACAACTGTTCATTTTCTTTCAATCAAAGAGCCAGAAGGCAGGCTTGTTGGGATTAAAGGTTTTTCTCTCACTGATTTGTAAGCACCTATGAGGGGGCTTCAGAAAGTTTGTAGGAAAATGGATCGAACGATCATGGAATTTTCCCATGAATTCTGTAAAGCTCTTTAAAGCCTTTGAGAAACTATTCATGCAGTCAGTCGCAGTGATGGACGATGGCATGATCAGTGTTCTGGTCTAGGGGTCAGCAAACTTCAGAGATGGAAGAGCCAATCCGGTCCCTCACAACAATTTCAGAATTATTCTAGAGCCATAAATATGTTTCACAAACAAATGAAATCACCATTACCTGAATAATAGCCTTTAAAATTTTTCAGTTTTACTTCAGCGCCACAGGTACATACTGAAAGATGTGACTCGCAAGCCACAGTTTGCCGCCCCCTGTTCTAGCCTCACATTAGGACGATCAAGTCTGAGTGTCCACTGTGAGCTGCCAGTATGACTCAATGATTCAGCATTGAAATAATTTTTTTTTTCCTACTTGTTTCTACCTCATTGACATGCAGAATTTTGATTTTCTCTTCTTTTTTGTAGCCATGCCCAGGTAGGAAGACACAGTTTGGGTCTCGGGCCCCAGCCTGGCTTCGGCGTCTTTGTGGGCAGCTGCTCTCTGAGCGGTTGATGAGACCCAGTGGTGTTCAGGCAGTTGTCCGGGGCATTTTGGAAGGAGCAGGAGGTAAGAAATAAAATGTCTCTGTTAAGTTTGGTGTCAATTTCCCCTTAGAGTCAGATGCTAAGGTGAGTTTTCAGTCTGGGGGATCTGCCTTTAACTTGAGTGGAACGCTGAGGTGCCTTCATGTACCGTGAGGAAGTTAAATTTGGAGACCCTTCATGAGCTTTTTTTCCTAAAGAAGTGAATTCTATTACTTCTTTCTAAATTATATTTAACTTGTTAAGAGTACACCCAGCAGAAGATGCACCAGTTAATCAGTTTTTACATTGACTACGCTCTTCGAGTTGGACAACTCTCTTTATCCATCATTTTTAAATTGTTCTTCCCCTTTGAACATAAACTCACTGCCTGTCTAATCTGAATTGTTGTCAGTTTGATCCAATATATGAGGAAAAGTCAAAAGTATTGCTACAAAATCATAGAAACCTTCTACCTTACATATCCGGCTAGACACTGGTACAAATAAGAACTGGAAACACAGGGAATCCAGGACAGATGAACCCCTTAGGACCAGTGCTGAGAGTAGCGATACCTGGAGGGTGGAGGGAGGGTGGAGTAGAAAGGGAGAACTGATCACAAGGATCTACATATAACCCCTCCCTGGGGGACGGACAACAGAAAAGTGGGTGAAGGGAGACATCGTACAGTGTAAGACATGAAAAAATAATAATTTATAAATTATTAAGGGTTTGTAAGGGAGAGGGGTGGGAAAGGGAAAAAAATGAGGAGCTGCTACCAAGGGCTCAAGTAGAAAGCAAATGAGTTGAGAATGATGATGGCAACAAATGTACAAATGTGCTTGACACAATGGATGGATGGATGGATTGTGTTAAGAGTTGTACGAGCCCCCAATAAAATGATTTAAAAAAAAAGAACATCAAAGTATGAAATGATTGTTTCTCAGCATGTCCTCCAATTAGTCTGTACGCTTCTGAAGGTCGTGGCGTTTTCATCTCTGGAAACCTGCAAGGGTGGTGGTACGTCCCCGAGGAATTCCGAGCTCGTTGACTTATACTCCATCCAAATGGCAGTTGAGACATGCAGATACATCAGATAACCTCAGTTTTGTCTTCAAAATTTCAGTATCTGAGTCTTCGGTCTGATTTAATCTGTGATTTCTTCTTATACATTCATCCCTCTGGAATTTCCTTTCACCTTTATCCTGGCCTCCCCTTTGCTGCCTTTTGAGTCCAGTCCCTTACCTGAACTGACCTTTCAGCCCCGAAGGGAGAACAGAAACGTGCTAGGTGAAAGTGAGAAGAAACCCACACAGGCAGAAGGAAAAGCATGTATGAAGACCCTAAAATGAGGGGATTTCTGTGTGGGCAGAGGAATGAGAGCAGAGTGTGTGGGATGAGGGTGGAGAGGTGGACAGTGGTCACCGTTTTTGAGGCCAATGAGAGATCATTGAAGCATTTTAAGGACATTTTAGAAATATCTGTCTCTAATGGTGCGGTGGGTTGGGCTGCCAACCATAATAAAGTTGTCAGTTCAAACCCATCAACTGCTCCATGGGACAATGATGAGACTGTTTCCATCAAGTCTTGGATCCTCTTTGTAGGATTACTATAAGTTGAATCAACTTGAGGGCAGTGGGTTTGTTTTGTTTTTTTTAGTTTAGGTAAATGTAGTCTAAAACTTTTAAGAGTAGAAGCAGGGTAATCAGTTTAGAAGCAGTAGTCTGAGAGATTATGGTGGCTTAGGTCAGTAAAACAGCAATAACAGTGGAAAGAAGTGAATGCATTTGAGAGACATTTAGCAAGTTGCATTATCAGAACTTACTGGAAGGCTGGGTATGTGGGGAATAAGAAAAGAATCAATCTGACCTTGATGTGGGGGGTAGACATTGATAGATTTCCCAGTTCTGCAATGGTTTCTAAGGCCAGAGAAAGTTTCCTCTGAGAAGTTGTTAGGTACAAATAGTCTTGTGTCTACCTTTTCCAAAGAAGGGCTAGAGCCCATGACTTGGAGAGATACTGTAAGAAAATGAGAACCTTCTATGTGCTTTAAATGTTTTCTTATTTATATGAGCATGTATTTATTTATTTATATCTTGTTTCTTTTCCAAAATAGTCTGAATGTTTGAGATTAAAATTTATATGTAACCACAAATTTGCCATTTCTGGTTCCCTTCCTTTCTTTGTCTGGATCCCAATTTCAATCCAAATTTCCTTCTGCCTCAAGAACTTTCTTGTTGGTCTGCCAGCATTAGATTTGCTTAGCTTTTGCTTATCTGAGACAGTTTATTTCACACACCTTGATGAAAGATACTTTTGACTGGTGTAGAATTCTAGGTTGACACGTTTTCTTTCTTTCAGTATTTTAAAGTTAGATTGTCTTCTGGCCTGCATGGTTTCCAAGGAGAAGGCATCTGTTGTCTTTTTCATGGTTCTTCTGTATTACTTGTTTTTCCCTTCTGTGTACTTTTAAGAATTTTCCCCTCAATCCTTACTTTTTTAGAAATTTGATTATTATGTCTTGGTGTGATTTTTCTCGTGAGATTCTCCTGGTTAGGGTTCCTTGGGCTTCTTGGAGCTGTAATTTTTATTAAATTTGGGAAAAGGTCAACCATTATCTTCAAATATTTTAGAAGTCAATTTGAACTCATAGCAAACTTGTAAGACACAATAGAACTGCCCTGAGGATTTCCAAGGCTATACATTTTTACTGGAGCAAAAGTCTCATCTTTTTCCTGAGGAGTAACTAGTGGTTTCAAACTGCTGGCTTTGTAGTTCGCAGCCCACTTATAATTCACTACCCTACCAGGGCTTTTTGGATTTACTTGCCACTTTAAAAATTAGAACACTAGATAAAATATAGGAACAATAATTTTCAGACATTGACCAGGCAGCCCAGGATACTGATTCATGAGAGAAGAAAATTAAACAAGATGAGCTCCTAATGGTCAGAGCTTACTACCTAGAGGGAGTTCCCAATCCATAGCACAGCAAAGGGGAACCCCTGGCATCCTATTGAATCCAAAAGCAGAGTTCAAAGTTCATAGAGGTCACAGTGGCTGAAATTTGCCACCAAATACTAAAGACAGCTATAGAGATAGAGATAGTTACGCAGGCATTGATTGGCAGAGAGTATGTGTGTGTGTGATGGGAAGCTATCTAAGGCTGGGTAAGAACCAATAGAAAGGAGTAGGTGGGGCAATTTCCAGAGCTCACACAGGCCTGGGAACAGTTGTGCTTCTAGGGCAGCAGGAAAAGGCTTCCTAGCACACACAGGGCAACATGCATTGCCTTAGTAGCAGATTAGATAGTACAGAAGACAAGATGGGTGAAGACAGAGAGACAGAATTATTCAATGAAAGAGAGAGTGAAAAAAGATGGGAAAAGATATTGCAAGGCAATATTGTCATTCAAATCCCGAAAAGTGAAGAGAGCGAACCTCCTTTGACTTGATGGCAGTGAGTTTTTGAAGATAAATCCAGTCCCTATTATTCCTTCATGACTGTAGTGTAAGGCAGTTTAAATAAAATTATACATTTAATGATTGAAATAATAATAATCATCATTGTATTTAATAATACAGTAAAAGTAAAAATAGCCCATCTAGAAACAGCTAGTATTCAAGTCATGGGAATAATATTATTAACAATTATGCATACCCATTGCCATTGAGTCAATCCCGACTCATTGTGACCCTATAAGGCAAAGTAGAATTTTCTCCCTGGGTTTCTAAAGTTATAATCATGCTTTTTAAAAAAAACATGCAAAATGTGATCATTTAGGTTAAAGTTCCTAGAACAAATTGGTTTCTCAGTCAGAAGTCTGCACACAGATTGTTGCGTGGCATTGCTTGCAATTCTCATAATGCGTCCGCCTCTTCCAGTTTCTGCTTTGGCTTCTCCATTTCTATTCTGCCCTTTCTGTCCTGTTCAACTTGTTATTGGGAAAATGCTGGCCTTTTGGTGTCACAGGTTGTTCTAGGGAGCAGGTTCTCTCCAGGTGTGGTTGTGGACTTTATTGGCCTGTCTTTTATGTGGCTGAAAAGTAATCTTTGAGCTTGGCTTCAGTAATTAGAAGGTGTCTGAGAGCCATAGTTTTGGGAGTTCCACCAGTCTCAATCAGACCACTAAGTCTGGTCTTTTTTATGAATTTGAATTTTTCTTTATTTTCTTTCTTTATTTTTAATTGATTTTTAGGAGCTCATACAGCTCTTATCACAATTCATACATACATCGATTGTGTAAAGCACATTTGTACATTCATTGCCCTCATCATTCTCAAAACATTTGCTCTCCACATAAGCCCCTGGCATCAGGTCCTCATTTTCTCCCCTCCCTCCCCACTCCTCCCTCCTTCATGAGCCCTTGATAATTTATAATTATT